TATTATACTCAATGTAATATCCAGTCTGGGTCCCCACCTTTCTTCCTTTGAAAAATCGTAAGTGTTGATCTCGAGTAGCTAACTCCTCAAGCTACATAAAAATATATAAACAAATATACTAAGTACTATGCTCGTATACTCAATAAGATGCTCGGATTCTCAACTCTTTCGGATAACTCATCCAAATCTTATAAAATTTCAATAGTCATGCTATTGCTCAAACTTAACTTTTCTTGATCTTTTACTCAATCAAATACTTAACTCACCATATATCATATCTCCCAAATCTTATATATTGGCTTATCCTCATTTTTCACTTAATTAACTTGAAATTGAAAATTTCTCAAAACATACTCAACTTTTAAATCATAATTCTCAATTAAGATATTAATATGTGAGACTTAAAAACAATATTTATAAGATTATATACTCAACATATCAAACTAAAACTTTGTCAAATTGCTCATCACTTATATGAGAATTGATCATAATAATCTCACTTTAACAACTTGAACATATCATGAATATTCTTACATATATATTCATCTTTACATGTATGCCTTGTAATTATCTTAACTCATACATTTCTCATCTTCAAATCATGAAATTTAATAGTCATAATCTAACTCATAATTAGACATGTCATAAAAATTTCATAATTTTAACATGCATACACATCAAGTTATTAGAATTTGAAGTTACAACTAAAACATTGAACATAAAATTCAACATACATGTTCATCATCAAATCTCTATAACTTAAGTTATAATATGCCAAATAACTTAATTCTTGTTCTCATGTACTCCTCTTTTACACAAGAATTACTCATTTAAATCATACTTTTTCAGCTTATTCATATCTTTATCAACATCTCATCAAATCAAGCACATATATCATATAATTGATCTTGAACTAATTTTAACTCCTTGTATTCATAGAATCAATTATAAACTCAACATGTAAATCATGATATACTTACTCATAATCATCTCAACTTATCATCAAAGCATGAACTTTAGTATGAAACTTTAAGATAAGTAAATTACCTCCTTATTGCTAGAATCGTAACTTGATTCTTCACTTCTAAATTCTTCACTTCTCCACAATTTCTACTACTTATCTCTCTTACACACTTATATAACTTTTGGTACTTATCTTTGGTGTAAGAACTCTGATTTTTAGGCCTCTATTTATAGGGACAAATTCAAGACATAAGGATTGAGTGAATAAATTAACAAAATAAACAATTTAATCTTATAAACTTAATTAATCATAAACTAATTAATGAGTAACTTGTATACTTCTCAAAAACATAGTTAATCTTCAAAAATAGCCTCTGGTTAAGATCACAATCGGATTCTCAATGATCAGACCTTACTGTCGGTCACACGACTCGTGTGGCATGTCACACGACTCGTGTGACCTCACACGACTCGTGTGGCTATGTCACACGACTCATGTGACTCCACACGACTCGTGTGGCTATGTCACACGACTCGTGTGACTCCACATGACTCGTGTGTCTTGTCACACGACTCGTGTGAAAAAGCCGAAGCTAATTTTCCTATCCTCATCCTCCCACACGACTCGTGTGCCTTGTCACACGACTCGTGTGGCTCATTCCACATGACTCGTGTGGCTTGTTCCTTGAAAAACTTGAAAAACTCTTAATTTCGAACTTATAACTGAATATTGGGATTCGAAATTAATCAAATCTTGGAACAACTACTGATACTTTATTAATAACTGAGAGGGATATTACAGTTGTGGCAGTTGTCGGTAAATTTCCAAACCTTGGCAGGTTGTTTTCCCTTTTTAAGGGACTTTTTCTTCCTCGAGTTGCCTTGCTCCAGTAAGTTAGCACGAGCCTCCATCATCTGGGTTTTCTCAGATGAATTACGGTTGTCCTCTTCAATACGAAGACGAACAACCAGGTCTTCAAGATTAATTCCATTTCTTTTATGTTTGAGGTAGATCTTGAAGTCTTTCCAACCCGACGGTAGCTTCTCAATAACTGCCGTAACATGGAATGACTCACTCAAAGTCATTCTTTCAGCATGTATGTCCTGCAAGATCATTTGAAACTCTTGCACTTGCGACACAACGGTCTTCAAGTCGACCATCTTGAATTCAAGAAATTTGCTGACGATGAATTTCTTCGCCCAGGCATCCACAGTCTTGTACTTCTTCTCCAAAGCGCCAAAGCTCTTTGGCAGAACCAACCGAGCTATACACATAGTACAACTCATTACTAAGTCCGTTCAGGACATAGTTACGGCAAAGCTAGGCACCTTGCCCCCAAGAATCGTACGCAGCATGTAGTTCAGCATTGGTCTCATTTTCTGCAATAACCGGAGGGTCGTCCTTCAGATACTTCATCAAACTCAAAGTGGTTTGATAAAAATGCATCTTTTGTTGCCATCTCTTAAAGTCAAGACCCGTTGAACTTCTCAGGCTTTTCAGCAGTAGCGACATGGATAACAAGTACATGATGATGATGAGAAGTGTGGTTAATCGGCTTTTGAGTGTTGGAACCATCTTCGGTGGATGCCATCAGTTCAGTAGGTTGAAATATTCGTCTTGCGATTATTACAAATGTGTTACGAAATACAAGGGAATCCTACGAGCTGAAGTGTATTTTTCCGTTCTTACAAATGAACTAAAATTATAAAATTACAATAGAACTGAAAATAAATTACAGCTTTGAAAAATGGAAAGATTTTAGCCGAGGCGAGTAAACTCTTTTCCGCAAGACAAATACTCCTCGTGTAGTGCTGACGGTTCAGGCATATCATCCCCAATTATACAATGAAAATCGTCTCGAAACCTGTAGCACACTAGACTTACGAGCTCCGGCGAACTGAAATGAAGTTGAGAACTGAGCACATATAAATAGAAGTGATTTTCTATATATCTAACAAAATTCTTTGATTTTTCCTTAACATATGTTCTTTTCTCTATTTTTCTTTTCAGAGTTCTCTGTATTTTTTCTCTCGTATTTCTTACACTCAGTTACTCAGATTTTCTCTTCACTACCTTCTACCCCTAAAACTCTGCAATCCCCTATATATATACGCAAAGCTTGAAGAAGGCTTACTATCACAAAGTCAGAGCACCATTTCAATTGTCAGGATAACTTTTCAAAATCAATATGCAAGTAATGCAATTTCTTCACGTAACATTCAAGTGGGAATCCCACATAAAATTATTTACACTTAATATCTAACAGTCTTCCTACTTTTTACACATTGTGATAATTATTTCTTAAGTGGAATTAGTAATTACATAGGTATTTTTAATATTAGGTACACCGTCCACTTTGTACAAGTTTAGTAAATATTTGGCATCTAGTATTTTTAAAATTGTGACACATATCATACTAATTAATAATATTTCTTTAATGTGAATGAGAGTGTATTGAATCTGCCACAATCCTCGATGGTCCAACACACACAAAACAAAACCAAAAACAAAAAAAAATGACAACATCTAAATTTATCCATATATACATAGAAACTACAGAACTAACTAAAAACCAACGTGCAACTCTTGAATCTTAGCACATAACTCGAAGAGGCCGAAAAAGATGTGTGAAAGCACTGGAAAGTTTCCATGATGATCTCGAATTAGACTTTTTCAGCTCATCACGAGGGATTCAGGTAGGGCTGGAAAAATCGATTTACTTCTGTACTAATTGATATTGTTCTGGTAAATACTGTTTCGATTTTATTTTTGTTTTTTTGTACTGTTCCCAGTACCGAATCATTTCAAATAATGTCGTTATCAATTTTGAATATTTTTGCCACGGACCGAGCCGTCCCTTTTAATTATATTAATAGAATACTTTAATCAGATATAATATGTATATATTATTATATCTATTATATGGAAGAGCCAAAACTCAAAACTAAAATAAAATTGATTAAATGAAAAAATCGAAAACAAAAATCAATGATACAAAGACTCAAAGTTAGTAATCAAATCTAAAATACCAAATGTCCAAGAAAGTAACAAACTCTGGCGGACAATCCACATTAGACTCGGCATTTTCATGTTTTCTATCTTCATAGACCGTACTCTTTTAAGAATTGATGGTTTGAAGAAGTTATGTTGATTATGGTGATTGAATATGAGAAGAATTTTAAGAACATTGTAATTTGTCGGGTAATTTATATATTTATTAATAAAAAAATAATAAGTGGACAAAAAACAAAAAAAAAAAAGGGA